TTTAAATATTGAGCATGGCGTAATTAAAAATATATACTGTATATTTATACATACAAATGTATACGTGATGTCCAATGTATTAATATTACAAATAATCAAATTTATCACCACAATCAACTATAGCAGTACAATATATGAAAGCATCTAAACTATTGAAATATAATATAATTAAAAATTACGGACGGTTTAAACCATTCCGCGTTCGCGTTTGACAATCATATAACCATAATATGCGGTCAGACCGACGGTAACGGCGCTGAATAGGCCGGTCATAATGCCGTTCACCAGGTTATTAATAGTGCCAATAATTCCCAGCGCCGCGTAAACAAACACGGTTGTTTTGTTCTCCTTGATAATGCCTATTAGCCCAATGATCTCGAGGATCAGACACACGGCCAGGAATACGCCCATAAACGCGCCAACCATTTCTAAACATGGTTAAATTAGATTATTTGTAATATTAATACATTGGACATCACGTATACATTTGTATGTATAAATATACAGTATATATTTTTAATTACGCCATGCTCAATATTTAAATTGTAATACAAAGTTTGCTATTTATATTAATAACACCTAGCGCAAAATACAACTTACTCATTGTTGCCTCAGGCGGTAGTGTCGGGCCTTCGTTGTTAATGTCATCTTGGTCTACATCATACGCCGGTGACTTACTTTTTTCGGCGTCCATTACCACGTTTAGTGCGGCAAAGAATAGGACAGTGGCGATGACCAGAAATATAATGGCCAACGTGTGAATCACTATCAAGGTGATTTTGACGCATCGGAACCGGGAGTCCTGTTCCCAGTAATGGTTACCCATCTCTTCTCCTTTTATCATGTTTGTTGTCGGTCTCAGTATTTGTTGGTATATTTTAAAATTAATTATGATGATGATTGTATCTAAATTATGTGTTGAAAGTGGACCAGTATTGTTTAGATAATATTTATATATTCTGTTCGTAGTGTTTACATAAATTATTCTTGTATAACAATGAATATTATTGTTGTATAGAAAATTAATGTAAATATACTTACTTCTTAGACCCAATATTGCTATAATATAGTGAAATGCTCAGCTCTATTATGGTGCACTTATTTCATGTTCATAGAAAGTACATAAAAATCAATACTTTATGGCAAGACATGAGAGAGAGAGAGAGAGAGAGAGAGAGAGAGA